AAGAATTTTCTTCTCCAAACGTAAATAACAGATATATTCCATAAAATATAAAAAATTACCCCCCCCAGATGTTCCGACTCTGCCCAAAATCCAATCAGTTCATTAGACGCTGGAATAAAGCTTAAGTTTAAAATTTGGTGTTTTTCTGTGTATCGGTTCATGAGTTATGCGACCTACACACACACACACACACACACACACACACACACACACACACACACACACACACACACACACACACACACACACACACACACACACACACACACACACACACACACACACACACACACACACACACACACACACACACACACACACACACACACACACACACACACACACACACACACACACACACACACACACACACACACACACACACACACACACACACACACACACACACACACACACACACACACACACACACACACACACACACACACACACACACACACACACACACACACACACACACACACACACACACACACACACACACACACACACACACACACACACACACACACACACACACACACACACACACACACACACACACACACACACACACACACACACACACACACACACACACACACACACACACACACACACACACACACACACACACACACACACACACACACACACACACACACACACACACACACACACACACACACACACACACACACACACACACACACACACACACACACACACACACACACACACACACACACACACACACACACACACACACACACACACACACACACACACACACACACACACACACACACACACACACACACACACACACACACACACACACACACACACACACACACACACACACACACACACACACACACACACACACACACACACACACACACACACACACACACACACACACACACACACACACACACACACACACACACACACACACACACACACACACACACACACACACACACACACACACACACACACACACACACACACACACACACACACACACACACACACACACACACACACACACACACACACACACACACACACACACACACACACACACACACACACACACACACACACACACACACACACACACACACACACACACACACACACACACACACACACACACACACACACACACACACACACACACACACACACACACACACACACACACACACACACACACACACACACACACACACACACACACACACACACACACACACACACACACACACACACACACACACACACACACACACACACACACACACACACACACACACACACACACACACACACACACACACACACACACACACACACACACACACACACACACACACACACACACACACACACACACACACACACACACACACACACACACACACACACACACACATCATCGCGAAAATAGTCAAAACGGATTCAGGGGACCTCAAAACGTAAAAATCCGTCGAAAACTCGAGGTCGAAAAAAATCATGATTCCTATACTTTCCTTATATCTGTATACAGATAGGAAAGTAAAAAGTGACCAAATTACTGGACCTAATATCGACCGTAGCCTCGATCGATTGATGAATGATGTTACTAAAGATACTTATATTTGTTCACTACATTTTCATGGAGAAAGTGGTTCAACAGAAGAAAATCCTTGTCTGGTATTACACAATATTTTTTAATATTAAATACTACTACTACTAAATGTCATGTTGATCCTTACAATTTTAAATAGTTTATAATTATACTCGTGATTAACTTTCATGTTAAAGTGTTTTTGCAATTATTAATAGTTGGTTGGCATAATTAATTAAAATAGAGTTATAATTATTATTATATGTATTGAAACCTAACCTCTCAATCACCACACTTTTTTTCCTTGTTTCGAACCTCTACGTCACTTCAAGGCCCTTTTTAATTGCTCACAACTATGTGCTTCCACAGAATTATAAAAATGTAAATCACCATCAACGATTTTTTCTAATGATTGATTTGTGTGTAGAGATATTAGGTGTACAAATAAGTTTTAGGACACTTCGATTTTGTATCATAACAGCTATTCTAAACTAATTCAAAGGTCCCGCTCACTTATCATAGATGGCGCTTGATATGTAGTATCGAAACGTACAGGAGTCATAAACATAACCTATAAATTCTGTAAATTAAACATGCAGACCGATAAGCTATTTATTAGACACTGCTTTCGCTATGAATTCCATCAAGGAAAAAGTGTTAGGAAAGCGTGTGAATCGATATGTTCTGTTCTTGGAGACAACATTGTATCTAAAAGTACATGTGAGTATTGGTATAAGCTATTCAAAGAAGGTGATTTCGACGTTAGTGATCGTGAACGCACCGGGCCTCCTGTAAAGGTGGACGATCAGGAACTGCAAGCGTTGCTGGATGAAAACTCTTGTCAGACGGAGAAACAACTTTCGGAACAGCTTGAGGTAACTCAACAAACTGTTTCTTATCGTTTAAAAGCAATGGGTAAGATTCGAAAAGGAACAAAGTGGGTACCACACTTTCTGACTTAAGAAAATAAAAACAGCCGTCTTAACATTTGTGTGAGTCTTTACAACATAGAAAGTCTTTCTTGTGGAAAATTGTGACCGGCGATGAAAAGTGGATTTATTTTGATAATCCGAAACGCAAATATCATTGGGTTGACCCCGGCGAGCCGACAACATCCACGCCAAAGCGCAATGTTCATTGTAACAAAGTCATGCTGTGCATATGGTGGGATATGAAAGGCGTACTGTATTATGAACTTCTCAAACCTGGTCAAACAGTTACTGCCGATCGCTATTCTCATCAATTGATGCAAGTGAATGAAGAAATTGAGAAGAAACGTCCATTTTCTGGTAAAGGAAAACGTCCAGTAAAACTGCTCCATGACAACGCGCGGCCTCATGTGGCTAAATCGGTCAAGGATACGTTACTAGCGCTTGGATGGGAAGCTGTACCACACCCGGCGTATTCACCAGACTTAGCCCCATCCGATTATCAATTATTCCGGAAAATGCAGAACGATTTGTCTGACGTGCGATTCAAAACATTTGAAGAAGTGGAAAAATGGGTCGCTAAATTTCTCACCTCGCAAGACGAAAGTTTCTTTGCGAAAGGCATCCGCGAGTTACCTGAGAGATGACTGAAGGTCATTCAGTGCGATGGAGATTACTTCGATGAATAACTGTGTTTTACTTCTTTTTTAATAAATCTTGAATTTTTTGAAAACTGTCCTAAAACTTATTTGTACACCTTAGTAATATTGCTTTTCCAGCCATTGTTGATCAAAACAGTACGAAACTTTTGAATTGGCGCTATTTCAACATGGCGGCTGCGCTTGCGCTCATCACATGATGAAAACTCCTATTATTACTATCTGTTTTCTAAGATAAAACAAATGTTTGCGGTTAGATGGCACTAAGTGTCTATACCTGTGATAATACGTGCTTCTTGCGTCACGTTACCTAACTCTATTACTTATGTCTAGTTTTACAAGTTAAATTATGTCTCAGACAGCACAGACGTCTGTTTTATGTCGTAGTTATGACTGAACGCCTAAAGACCTAAAAAAGACGTTTTAAAGACGTCTTTTAGGACACATAAATAGACGTCTTAAAGACGTCTTTTAAATGCCTATCTATTTAAAAAATATAAAAAAGAATGATAACATTAAAAAAAGTACTGGCTTACTTGTCGTTTCTAATTTCACAAAATATAAATTTATTTTTAATTTTTTTTTATTAATTTACATAATTTACTTATTTTTTTTATTTATTCACGAGCATTTGTTTATTAGAGTAAATATTTGTTAACATAAAAATAATAATAATAATAAATATAACTCTAAATAAAATTAACAATTAAAACATATCAAGACAAATTGAATTACGCGCTCTTTCAACTTGACCGGAACTTGGTTCAACGATCGAAGGGAATGTTTTTATTATGCTTTGTCTTTTTTCAACAGTAGAATTTAAACAAGGACGTGTATCTGAATGTGAGTATTATTGGGGTTCCGTGGTTCGTGGCGTTCTGCGTTGTCTTTTCGTTGTCATTTGTCGTTTATGTTGAACATGAAAGCCGAGAGATTAGTTTTTGTTCGTTTTCGTTGATTTTTTTATTTGTGTCTTGTGCCGTGGGTTACTGTGAATTTATAACCATAAAAGTTTGCTGCATATACTGAAAAACCAAATAGAAGAACCCTTATTAGAGTTTTAAGTACGTCTAGGCGTCTAGAGCTGACTTAAAAGCTTCATCGGATGTAAATATATCTGAATTAGAGTTGAACGTATAGGAAGATTGCCATTCTTTGATCATCCTTAACCCACACTATCTACTAAAAATCCTATTAAAACGAATTTGACAGAGTGAGCTATAATGCATAATATTTTACACAGCACAGTTAAAATTATTGCAACCCAGACTGGATCAGAAGAGCATCAGACAGAAGATTAACCACTAATGGAGGAAGAATAAAAAAAAATAATTTGTAATATTACTTTTTTTAACGAAATGTTTCAGTATTTTGTTAATAATAATGTTTATAGAAAATATGTGTGTTATTTTGTATAGAAGGAATTTACAGAAGCTTTTAAAACTAAATCCGAGAGTACGTCTTACTAATGTCGAAAAACAGACATATTCAAGATGTCTTAAGAACGTTACCTTTTGTAACATCAGACGTCTTAAAGATGTCTTTAAGACGTCTGACCGGCGTCATAAGACGTCTTTTAGATGTCTGTCATGTCTCTGACAGACGTCTTATGGACGTCTTAAAGATGTCTTTGTGCTGTCTGGGGTTATACACAGCTTACTAGCATTACTGTGGTGCGATTATTGATATTTACAGAGGTGGGCCTAGAAAAAGTGCTTTATTATGTATCACTTTGTATCACTATATGTTTATCTAATTGGTTATTAATGTAATATAAAAAATATATATTTTTAGGTAATAAGAATTAAACCACCAATGTGTATAACAAAAGAAGATGCAGATTTTACTGTTAAAGTATTCGAAGTTGCTCTAGAAGATATATAAATATTGTATTTATTTTTCTTCTTATTTTACAAATTAATAACAATATATTTTATAAATGTTTCTTATAAAATTAATAAAACATATATCAGCGATTATATACTTTTTCCTCTCCCTTCATTTTACTGAAGCAGAAGAAGAGAAAGAATATTAATAAATATTTAAAGTGTGTAAATATTGAGTTTTATTCAACAAAACTCTATAAAAAATTCGTCTGAGCACTTTCGGTCTCTTAAGCCATCATCAAAGACTCTATAAAAGAAAAAAACGGAGCTGTTACAATATAATCAACTCTAACATTACTAAAAAGAAAATAAAAAAACTTCTGAGTTAATTTGTTATTTCGAAGTAATGAAATAAAATTTATAATTATAGTTACTCTGTTTCTTTCATTAATTTTATTTTACTATAGAGAGCTTTTTGGAACTCGTAATTTACCCTGAGAACTTTATAAGTCAAGGAATAAAATTATAATTACAAATTTTTATTTATTATTATTATTATTTTTTTTTTAAGAATTGACAATATGCGAGGGATAGAGGTAAGTGTCTGAATACATTTGATGAAAACTTTATCAACTTATTATAACAACATTACAAATTTATCTAGCCAATTTAAGGTATATGACATAATGACTATTTTTAATTAAATAATATTAAATTAAAATTAAATATTACCATTTCACATTTCATAACAATTATGACGTACCCAATGTGGAGCTTGATAAAAGCTCTACATTAAAATTAAAATAGGTATAAATTCTTTACTTACAAAGTGTGACTTTTGGTAACTGATACTATTACAACAACTGGATTCTTGGAAAAGTTGTTAGGTACAAACTTTGAAAATATTTATAGTCTATCATTAAATTTTATCCAATACAAACTAGTAAAATGAGCAAAACTAAAAATCTGAATGAACTAAAAATCACGGAAATAAAAAAATTATTAACAAAAAGGGGGTTGGACAAAACTGGGATTAAATTAACATTAATCAAAAGATTACAAGACGCAATCGTTTCTGAAGAAAAGGATCCTGAATCATCTTTTTTAATTAGAAGATAACAGTGATGATGATGATGATGAGATAGAAATCAAAGATACCAAGACTAACGACATAACATCGGGAAATAGATAATCCATCATCAATGACACAAAAAAAATCAAAGGGATAGAAAAAATAAAAGAAATAAAAAAGTAGGAGTTTTACATGCTAGAGGATATTGATATTGGAAGGTATCTATGAGAGAAGAACAGAAAGGAGAGAGTAAAAAAATGAGAGAAGAACAAAAAGGAAAAATAAAAAGATGTTAGAGAAGATAGAAAAACAAAAACAATATGTAATAGATTTGTTGATAAAAACATTTGAAGAACAAGACAAGAAAATAGAGAATTTGAACAATAATATGAAGAAGGAGTTGGAAAAACAAGAGAATAAAGTTAATGACTTACATAAAAATATGCAAGAAACGGTATAAAAATCCCAGAAGTAAATATAAAAAGAACCGTAGAAATCATGGAAAAAAGTGAAAAAAAAAAAAAGAAATACGTAAGGAGAAGTTTAATTAAACAAGTAAAGGAAATGGAAGGTCTAAAAAAGGATGTGAAGAAAGAGATCTACGAGGTAAGAGAAGAAACAGAAAGTGTAATGTATGCCTTATACACTACTAAATAAAACAACATTTGTTTGCTTTTATTGTCTAATATTCTGAATAACACAGCAATTAAGTAATAGTTATAACACCAGACAAAACTCAAGAATACTCAAGATACAATACTGAAAATCATAGACTGCAAATGTGATGCGTGACACTGCGCATCTGACTCTTATTTAGTACTCGTGGCGGCATCTATGTATAATCCATAATCCTATGGTGTCACAGACTACAGATGACTGTGACAGGAGAAACACTTATATAAAGCTGAAACATAGATGGCGTTACGGGTACTAACTTTACCATTTTATAAATGGGTATACAGATTTCACAGAAAGAGAAATAAGTAAATCAAAAAAGAGTTTGTAGAATAAATGAAGAAACTCAAAGAACAATGAAAAATGACTGGAAGAGAAGGTGATATGAATGTAGAAGAATTGGAAGAGGTTTATAAAAGAATGGAAAAATGTGAACAATAAATAGAAAGAAATTAGAAGTCAAGAAGATGAAAATAAAAGAAATAGAGGTGAAAATGATAAAGAAATTAACGAAAGAAGATAGGTACAGAAAAATGGAAGAAGATTTAGAGAAAATAAGAGAGCAAATGGATACAATGAGAAAATAAATGGAAACCGAGAGACAACTATTTACAGCAATTGCCAGAGTGGAACAGATGAAAGCACAAGATTCATTGGAAACGTAAAAAGATACACCCTAGAGTATTCCTACGAATTTTATCAAATAAAATAAAGAATATGGAGAATTTCGATGATATCAGAAAAATAATAAGAAAATATCTTGTAGGACAAGCCTTACTATGGTACACAAGTAAGGAAATGGACATTACAAACTTTAAAATCGCTTTTATTAATATGTATTGGGGAGAAATAATTCAAAAAGAAGTAAGAGAACGTCTCTACTTTGGTCACTATGATGAAAAAAGAGGCAGTTCTATGTATTTTTATGCACTTATGTTGTATTGACAGGCTCAGCATCTTGAACCTGTTATCAAGGAAGAAAAGATCGTGATGTTTCTATCGAGGCATTATAAACCTCAGATAGCCGAAACTATTGCAGTTCACAACATAAAGAGTTTCGAACAATTAAGTAACTAATGAGAATAGAGTAGCAATGTATTTTAAGAACGGACAATTTCCAACGCTACTATGAGCTCTTTATGTTGATTCACAAACTATCTGTAGAGATGGCAACACCGAACCTAAAAGCTGGAACTGAATTCAAAATTCACCAAATAAACACAATAGCTATTGTTTTCCGTTCTCCGATATATTTATAGATCAGAGAATTTCGAGTAATATTTATTGATTTTGGCAACTGAACATACTTTTCGCGACTGTTACGCCATAGAAAATAAAAATCATGTATCCAAACGTAAAAGAGGACCGTTAGGGGCAGTACCTCTCGGTGTCCTCAAAGATTTTCAAGCAATGTTCATTTTTTTCAAAAATGGTAAACACACAAGTTAATCAGTAGTAAATGAAAAATGGCGGCTGATAACATATATACGTATACGATTTTTTTTTATATTTTTTCATTTTATTTTTTTTTGTTTATCATGCGCCAATTTACGATGCATAAGCTCGGATAGAAAAAAAAAAATTGGTGAGTATTTGGCCCGCAATTTGCAAATTAACATTTCCAATATGGCGGACGGGTATAGAACCTCCTTAACCTCTTCCAATCTGGGTGATTCACTAAATAACCTCTTTGTCTAAAGTCTTTATATATGTTTATTACTTTTTCTTTTTTTATTTTATTTTATGATTTATATTTAGTTATGAAATTTCATGGTTTAATATTTTTCTCATAAATAGTAAATCAGGTAACTTCTTTAAAATTGGAGAGTGTTAAAGGTTTATTGTGTTTCAACATTAAACATTGATGTTTAGATATAGGTGCGGATATGTATATGATTGAGTTGCTGGCCGGATAGAAAGATCTCTGGACAATAAGGAGTCCGCCTTGGGTGTTTTCATAGACATAGAAGGTGCTTTTGATAAAACCACCACTCACTAACTAACAGGAATGTTCCACAAATGGTTAGTGGGTGGATACATAACATGCTCTCAAAGCGAGCAGTAAACATAAGTGTTGAAGATGTTAATATAAGAGGCTTGGTTGCGAGGGGATGTCCACAGGGAGGGGTGCTATCACCTCTACTGTGGAATATGGTTCTCGACACCCTCATCAGCGGTCTCAATAATGACAGTCACTACACAATCGCATATGCAGATGACCTGGTCATTCTGCAACCAGGGAATTTTGAGAACATACTCTGCGAAAGAATACAAGTAGCTCTAAAAATTATAGAACAGTGGTGCAAGGACCATTCACTGTCTATCAATCCTAAGAAGATAGAAATGGTCCTTTTCATAAGGAAAAGGATGAAAATGGAATTAAAACCTCCAGAACTCCTAAACATAACACTAAACTTTGCGACAGAGGTGAAGTACCTAGGTCTCACCTTTGACAGCAAGTAAACATGGAACTCGCATTTAGAAAACAGAGTTAAAAGAGCATACATTGCTTATGAACAATGCCGCCGTACTGTGGGACGCACCTGGGGTTTCTCCCCCAGAGTCGTCGCATGGACTTACACGGCTATCACAAGACCTATCCCAGATAGCACAAAGTCGTCTTAAAGACGTCTTTAAGACGTCTAGCATAAGACATTCGAGACGTCTTTAAGACGTCTGGTATTTCCTGAAAGACGTCTTTGAAGACGTCTGATGTTACAAAAAGCGACGTCTTTAAGACGTCTTATTAATGGCTTATATTGGTCTGTAGAGCTTAAAATAAGCCATAAATAAGACGTCTTTAAGACGACTTATTAATAGCTTATAATGGTCTTGTAAAGCCTTAAATAAGCCATAAATAAGATGTCTTTAAGACGTCTTATTAATGGCTTATAATGGCCTTGTGAAGCTTTAAATAAGCCATAAATAAGACGTCTTTAAGACGACTTATTAATAGCTTATAATGGTCTTGTGAAGCCTTAAATAAGACGTCTTATCAATGGCTTATAATGGTCCTGTAAAGCTTTAAATAAGCCATAAATATGACGACTTATTAATAGCTTATAATGGTCTTGTGAAGCCATAAATAAGACGTCTTTAAGATGTCTTATGAACGTAGGACGTCGGATATCTTGGTTATTAAAAAGTAGAACAACCTTGCAGATTATAAAATAATGCAAAAAATAGAATTAAAATATTTATTGATAAAACATCTAAAAATCACAGGTCACTAAGAGTTATTTTCTTTGTAGCGCATTCGATCACTCCTCTTTAGCCATAATTGGATTGATTTTTCTCTTTGATTTGTAGTTGCCTTTGTATAGCTCCTAAAAAGAAATTTAGTTAAGAGCATCTAGTCACAGAAAATTATACTTTGCAAAAGTTAGTAAAAACCGACAGAACACCCAGGC